AGAATATTTAATAAAAATGGCGGGCCATTTTGGAGCCATTTTTTGGAAAAAACTATGGGCTATAGTACAGGGATTTTTCAAAAATTGGGACAATATATTTTTTAAATGGCCATTGCTTGAAAAATTGCAGCCGGATTTGGCTCAAACTTTCTACAAAGCATAGGGACATCAATATGTATCAGAATATTTAACAAAAATTGGGGCCATTTTGGAGCCATTTTTTGGAAAAAACTATGGGCTATAGTACAGGGATTTTTCAAAAATTGGGACAATATATTTTTTAAATGGCCATTGCTTGAAAAATTGCAGCCGGATTTGGCTCAAACTTTCTACAAAGCATAGGGACATCAATATGTATCAGAATATTTAATAAAAACAGGGGGCCATTTCAAAGCTATTTTTTGGAAAAACTATGGGCTATAGTACAGGGATTTTTTAAAAAATTGGATTATTCTTTTAAAAATGGCCATAACTTTAAAAATTGTAGTCGGAAATGGCTCAAACTTTCTACAAAGCATAGGGACATTAATATGTATCAGAATATTTAATAAAAACAGGGGTCATTTTGGAGCCATTTTTTGAAAAAAACTATGGGCTATACTATAGTACAGGGATTTTTTCAAAAGTTAGAACATTATTTTTTTACAAAAATGGCCATAACTTGAAAAATTGTAGTCAGAATTGGCTCAAACTTTCTACAAAGCATAGGGACATCAATATGTATCAGAATATTTAATAAAAACAGGGGGCCATTTCAAAGCTATTTTTTGGAAAAACTATGGGCTATAGTACAGGGATTTTTTAAAAAATTGGATTATTCTTTTAAAAATGGCCATAACTTGAAAAATTGTAGTTGGAATTGGCTCAAACTTTCTACAAAGCATAGGGACATCAATATGTATCAGAATATTTAACAAAAACGGGGTAACTCATCTTCACTGGTTTATAGTCTAATAGATATAGATAACAAGAGGTAACAATAGTAACTAAGCTGCATAATCAAACATTTAGATTTTGCACTGAATGATTCCTAACATTATAATGCATTCATTAATGACATCATTACTTATGTACTAGTCAGTAGTCAGGGATATAAAATGCAAATTTAACCTAAATTTGTATAGATATGTAAGAACTTGTCAAGTTTTAATCATCCTACCCTTTTGAAGGAATTGGTACAATAATATATAGTACATCTCACAGATGCAACTGTGAAAAAAGGCTGACATGATTAAATAATTTCCAATCCAACTGCTGTAACTGATTTAAGCATCTGAGTTTATTAGGAATGATACTACCCAGCCGGGCCAGTCCTATACCTAATATTTAGCTACCGTATATTTGTGGTCATTAATGATGGTTAATAAAGTCCATTAAATTACAAAACACTTACCACTGCTTGCTATTGCTGACAAGAAATTATCAGGCACCAGTCCAACCTTACCACCAGCTCTGATCTTCCACTAGCCATCTTGATCAGTTTTTGTACTGATAATATCAACAGTGTCGTCTTCTGTCACAGACACTTCATCATCCTAATCAACAGAGAACATCACTTTAGCTTTTTGTGGGTGTGGCTTCTTTACTAATGGTGCTGGACGGCCTGGTACAGACTTAGGAATAGTTGGCTAAAACAGAGAATGTGTTAGTAGCATTGTAGTGTTTATCATTTAATTATTTTACTTGTTAATTTTTGGACTATACGTCCAAAATTATTGTCATTTTGGAGCATCATTCGAATCAAAATGCCCTATTTGTCAAGAAGCATACAGTTCCGTCTATGATGAAAGGATTAATCATGATATCATGGATCTTAAGATATACTGCATATATGATATGATTAACAAGGAACGTGCCAGTTTCGCCCTGCCATTTACAGCCCTCTTCAAGTAAACCTAATTGAGAATCAACTCACAAATGAGCCTTCCATCATCAAAGGTGCTGAACTTCTTTTGATGGGCATTATGGTTTCAAAGGCCTCACTTTTTTGTCGAAGTCAAAAAAATATCGTGGCAGCAGGATGCTTGTTGCTGATCACGGGAAACTAGTTTACAGATAATACAGAGAAATTTATCAGGAAGTTAGTTTTCTTTCAATAAGAGGAATTTGTCAGAAATATTTCAACTCATAGTTGTATCCTTGGCCAGCCATTTTGGACGTCAAAACCAAACTACCCAGCAAAGGGGGCAGTTTGGCTTAAACAGCCTTGCTGATCGTTGAAAGCCCTTTATACACATATTACAGAAAATATTGTGGTCAACTTGTTGTGGATCATGTGAAACTAATCTGCAGAGGGCACTCGTGGTGCGCCCACATTACCGTGGCCCCAGAGCTCAATCGTATTCAATAATGGGACCAAAAAGGGATTTAACGGTTCAACTCCTTTCAGTGGTCACACTGACCCAATTTCTATTGCAGGTGCTAAACTACTGTGAAAAAAAGCTCAAAAGAATGAAAAGAATAAACAAATTTCTGACACAATAAATAAATTCATATTAAGCTTTAATCCCCGCCACACCACCTGTGTATAGCAGCCATCTACAGATCCTTCTCTAATCACATCTCTTCACCAACCCACCATTGTCCCAACTATCACTAATAAACCCAACATTAAAACTCACAGCATACTATAATACTGCCACCGATATCGTAAAACATACCCCACAAACCCCCACACATGGCCATGGACTCGAGTTCATTAAATGATATGGATGATATGCCACCAATGTCTGATAGGACTCAAACCCATAACGTCTTGCTTAGAAGGCAAATGCTACCTATTGAGCTACAAACACTACTACATAAACATAGCATTTGTGGTCTATGTTTTAACAATTAGTAATTCATTGGAAGTTGATGCTGTTACCACCCCCACAGCTTCTAGATATGATTCATCTAATGCAATGCTATCGTGCCCTCTAAATAAATTATAGTCAATAAACAAAAGACATACTCCTGTATCCCGGCAACTGCCATATCTAATAAAGTGATAAACACCATAATTAGCATAGGAAATAACCCCACGAATGCCAGGCCCTCCACTAAAATACTAAAAGCAAATCCTGATATAATAAAAAATAACAAATGCCTGCTAGTCTTAAGCAAAAGAACTTACCGCATATAACTGCTCTATCTCTTATAAAATGCCGATAAAAACTATAAATATATATTAAAAGTGAATATTATTAACAAGGTATCAGTTGATAGGGACAACTATTGAGATGAGTATCTATTGACCAGTTTGATTGATGGTTCCCTTCACAGTTAGCACAGTAAACCTCAAGACTATAATCATTTGACAATTGAGCCTTCCATTGTTAAGCAGGTGAACATTTTTGATTGCAAAGGGGGCAGTTTGGTTTCGACGGCCTTGCTGATCATCAAAGGCCTTTTATACACGTATCACTGAAAATATTGTGACAGCAGTCAACTTGTGGATCACGTGAAACTAATGTGCAAAGGGCATGCACATGAATTGATTTGGAAGATGTTCATCCACAAAGTTATATTTGTATCTACCCAGAGACATTTTAAATTATACCTGGCAAAGCTGCATTATCAATGGATCAATTTTTATTAACAGTTTTAAAATCACAATGTGATCAATGTTTATCAACAGTTTCAAAATCAAATGGGATCAACATTTATCGACAGTTTTAAAATCAAATATGATCAACATTTAACAACAGTTAAAATCAATATGTCATCAAAGTAGCCATGGCCTCGTTCCTGTAGCCTATAGACTGATCTAACTGCACTCCTAATGATATTGCCCAAGATACATAACTTATCGCCTCCACTACTATTAAAAACGGCGCCAATGAATTGATTTGGAAGATGTTCATCCACAAACTTATAGTCGCATCCACCCTCGGCCATTATGAAATAGATACTTGGCATTTACGTGCACATATGTGGAAATATTGATATGATATACTTTCTTACTAAAAAAGATTGTGATTTTGTGACATAATAGATGTAAAGAGTATTATACACAAATTCAAGGACAAATATTTCTGTGTAAACTGAAGAGGTGCAATTTTATATGTTGGACTCCTGAAGGTATACGTTTGGAAACAATAATTGAGGATACTTCGTCACAAGGTGAAATTGTTTCTTCATGCAAAGATTTCTTCATCTGTTATCTTTTGCCAGAGTTAATAAGCCATAGAAAATATTGTGGCAGAAGGATGCTTGTTACTGATCATGGGAAACTAGTTTACAGATAGTACAGAGGAATTTAGGAAGTTCTCTTTCAACAAACTCATAGTCGTATCCTTGACCAGCCATTGTGGACATCAAAACCAAACTACCATGCAAAGGGGCAGTGAACAGCCTTGCTGATTGTCAAAAGCACTTTATACACGTGTCACAGAAAATATTGTGGTCAACTTGTTGTGGATCATGTGAAACTAATCTGCAGAGGGCACCTGTGGTGCGCCCATGTTACCGTCGCCCCAGAACTCAATAATAGTGCCATATTCAATAATGGGACCGAAAAGGGATTTAGCGGCTCAACTCCTTTCAGTGGCCACACTGCCCCAATTTCTATTGCAGGTGCTAAACTACTGTTAAAGAAAGCTCAAGAGAATGAAAAGAATAAATAAACTTTTGACACAATAAATAAAATCATACCGAGCTTTAACCTTCCCCGCACCACCTGTGTATAGCAGCCATCTACAGATCCTTCTCTAATCACATCTCTTCACCAACCCACCATTGTCCCAACTATCACTAATAAACCCAACATTAAAACTTATGGCATATTGTAATAAATGTAATAGTTTTCAAAATTAATTGACATTAATTTTGAAAAACCATCAAAAATATTGAGAAAGGAAGGACGAAATTATTTTTTTACAGTGTCTGAAATTGAAGAGTATTCCCTGACAATCTCACAAAATGATTTGCTACAAGTTTTACATGGAGGATGTCCCAATGCAGTTATCTTCAGTGTTGTTTATGGATTTTAAAAATCTGAATGTAGTAAGCCTTTGTTTTAATTGTTCTCTTATGCTGTTGTTGTAGGTACAGTGCCATTGAAGGAGTCACACAACATTGATGAGGAGATAAATAGTGCAGATGGTAAGGTGATTTATTTCAATATCATTCAATCTTAATATTTTAATGTTAAATCTTTATGTGACGACGTCGTTTTGGAGTATCATTCCAATCAAAATGTCCTATTTGTCAAGAAGCATACAGTTCCGTCTATGATGAAAGGATTAATCATGATATCATGGATCTTAAGATATACTGCATATATGATATGATGATTAACAAGGAACGTGCCAGTTTCGTCCTGCCATTTACAGCCCTCTTCAAGTAAACCTAATTGAGAATCAACTCACAATTGAGCCTTCCATCATCAAAGGTGCTGAACTTCTTTTGACAGGCATTATGGTTTCAAAGGCCTCACTTTTTTGTCGAAGTCAAAAAATATCGTGGCAGCAGGATGCTTGTTGTTGATCACGGGAAACTAGTTTACAGATAATACAGAGAAATTTATCAGGAAGTTAGTTTTCTTTCAATAAGAGGAATTTGTCAGGAAGATTTCTGTCAATAAACTCGTAGTTGTATTCTCGGCCAGCCATTTTGGACGTCAAAACCAAACTGCCCGCAAAGGAGCAGTTTGGTTTAAATAGCCTTGCTGATCATCAGAAGCCCTTTATACACGTATCACAGAAAATATTGTGGTCAACTTGTTGTGGATCATGTGAAACTAATCTGCAGAGGGCACTCGTGGTGCGCCCACGTTACCGTGGCCCAGAACTCAATAACAGTGCTGTAATCAATAATGGGACCGAAAAGGGATTTAACAGTTCAACTCCTTTCAGTGGCCATACTGCCCCAATTTCTATTGCAGGTGCTAATCTACTGTGAAAGAAAGCTCAAAAGAATGAAAAGAATAAATAAACTTCTGACACAATAAATAAATCATATTAAGCTTTAATCCCCGCCACACCACCTGTGTATAGCAGCCATCTACAGATCCTTCTCTAATCACATCTCTTCACCAACCCACCATTGTCCCAACTATCACTAATAAACCCAACATTAAAACTCACAGCATACTATAATACTGCCACCGATGTCGTAAAACATATCCCACAAACCCCCACACATGGCCATGGACTCGAGTTCATTAAATGATATGGATGATATGCCACCAATGTCTGATAGGACTCAAACCCATAACGTTTTGCTTAGAAGGCAAATGCTACCTATTGAGCTACAAACACTACTATATAAACATAGCATTTGTGGTCTATGTTTTAACAATTAGTAATTCATTGGAAGTTGATGCGGTTACCACCCCCACAGCTTCTAGATACGATTCATCTAATGCAATGCTATCGTGCCCTCTAAATAAATTATAGTTAATAAACAAAAGACATACTCCTGTATCCCGGCAACTGTCATATCTAATAAAGTGATAAACACCATAATTAGCATAGGAAATAACCCCACGAATGCCAGGCCCTCCACTAACATACTGAAAGCAAATCCTGATATAATAATCATCAAATGATCAGTCTTGAGGTTTACTGTACTAACCGTGAAGGGAAGCATGTGGTACCTCGTTAGATACTCATCTGAATAGTTGTCCCTATCAACTGATACCTTGTTAATAATATTCACTTTTAATATATAATTATAGTTGTTATCGGCATTTTATAAGAGATAGAGCAGTTTTATGTGGTAAGTTCTTTTGCTTAAGACTAGCAGGCATTTGTTATTTTTTGAGCTTTCCATCGTCAAAGCACGGAAGCAGGTGAGCCTTTTTTGACCGCAAACAAGGCAGCTTGGTTTCAACAGCCTTGCTGATCATCAAAGGCCCTTTATACACTTATCATAGAAAATATTGTGACAGCAGTCAACTTGTGGATCACGTGAAACTAATGTGCAAAGGGCATGCACATGAATTGATTTGGAAGATGTTCATCCATAAAGTTACATTTGTATCTACCCCGAGACGTTTTGAATTATACCTAGCATTATCAATGGATCAATTTTTATTAACAGTTTAAAAATCACAATGTGATCAATTTTTATTAACAGTTTCAAAATCAAATGTGATCAACGTTTATCAACAGTTTCAAAATCAAATGTGATCAACATTTCTCAACGGTTTCAAAATCAAATGTGATCAAAGCAGCCATGGCCTCGTTTGTGTAGCCTGTACACTGATTCAAAAGCAAAAAGTATCATCCACTCCAATACATCGTCACATTCTCCTTCCATAAAACAAAT